CCGGAAGTTGATAATAAGGCGTTAAAAGATGCATTTGCTCCATTTGGCGAAGTTTCGTAAGTTTTTTTCTTTTTTTCGAGAGATTTTTAAAAATTTTTATGAAAATATTTCTGAAATCCGTAAACTCCCAGAAAGAATACTGTAGTAGCGAAGGAGCGAACTGCGTCGTTAGAATCGAGCTGTTGGAATGCAGTGGTTTCAGCATTTTTTTTTTTAGCTAGAGTTTTAATTCATCGATATTTTTTGTTTTTTTCCGTTCTGGAAAATTTCTTCGTTTTTTCTATCAGATTCTCCACCCGTCTATTTTGGATTTTCTCCTGTCTGTTTTCTGGAAGGGGCATTGTATTTTTATTCGGTTAAATACCTAGCGGTTTAGTTGTTCAGAAAAGTGGCGCTATAAATGAATATAAAGCTTTGATGCGTTTTCCATTGTTCGTTTCTTCGGTTTTGGTAGATAATATAATAGGGAAAGAAATATACGGTATACTATACGACATACGGTAGCATACGGTATGCGGTATATAACATTACGATATACGGTATACGACATGCGGTAATGTACGGTAGAAAAATATCACCACATTCTCTCACATTTTGCACAGAATGTGAGATAATGTGGTGATAACTAGCTGATTTAAAAAAAGGTGTCATCAAACAAGTGTTTTTTTGCTTTGCTCGTTAATTTTTCATGCGATTTTTTAGCGATGCTAAAGTCATTCGAGATACAACGACACTCAAATCAAAGGGATATGGATTTGTGTCATACCCAAAGCGAGAAGTAAGTTTTCGAATTGTTTAAATTGATTTTTGGTTTTAAATAAGTTAAAACACAAGTTTTCAAAACGAGAAGTAATTTTTCGAGCTTTTTAATTGATCTCTGACTTTCAAATAAATTAAAACGCAGGTTTTGTTCAGGATTTTTCAAAAATCGAATAAAGTACAGGAGTTAAGCTTGTAGGTGGGAATTTGCTTAAATAGAAGAAAAAGTATCGAGATTTTTTTTTCAGGAAGCGGAGCGTGCAATCGAGCAAATGAATGGACAGTGGCTGGGACGTCGAACAATCCGTACAAACTGGGCAACACGTAAGCCAACTGGCACTGGTGCTGGGGATGGACAATATGGGCGTACCGAATTGAATTATGATGATGTTTTCAATCAGACTGGCCCGGACAACACCTCGGTCTACGTGGGCAGTGTTAACTCGAGCGCTAATGGTACAGTTCTTGTTTGTTTTCTTTTTTCTTTAGTAAAGTACGAATTTACGTTGTTGGCTATGGAATTGGTGATGCTTGGGATTTTGTTGGTCTTTTTTTTTCGAAATTTTTCTGATGCACTTTTTAAGAACCTCTATGTGCTGCTTCCGGTAAGCCGTGTTGGCTTTCAGTGGAGGCTTCATCACATTGCAGGCGTCATAAAAGTGCTAGAGAAGCCGGAATTTTTTTTCTTTTGCAGCAATAACTATGTTTCAGAGTTTTAAGCCCAGAGCTCTGAGATTACAATTGCTTCTACATATTTTGATAGTATATGCGAACATTCACGGTTTTTTTTAGCCAAATTACTAAGTCTAGGAAGGAACTAGAGTTACGGTTGAGGGAAAAGGGAATAAAGGGTATTTTACTGCAGTTACGGTAAAATACCGTTTACGGCGTTTTACCGTAACTGCAGTAAAATACCGTAACTCCAGTTCCTTCCTGTTTACGGTTGCGTTTTCCATCAAAAAATATTTGGCATAATTGAAATTATTTTGCACGTTTTTCAGATGAAGACCTGCGTGCAGCGTTTGACAAATTTGGTCGTATCCTGGAAGTGCGCATTTTCAAAGCCCAGGGCTATGCATTTGTTCGTTTTGATAAGAAGGAATCGGCATGCAATGCAATTTGCAAAATGAATGGTCAAGAAATCTGCGGCCAAAATGTGAAATGCTCGTGGGGCCGAACACCGGAAGTACGCCCAATTGATCATTTTCACTCTTCGGTCTTTAACTTTCCTCTTAACATGATGAAATGGGGCACTGTACTGATAATTCCCACCGCATTTCGCACCCATTCTGCGGCCAGTGTTTACAG